CTCCACGAGCTCTGCACGTCACCTGACATCAGCGTAATATTAACTTATATAGCCGCGTCCCACAATTACAAAACCTTATAACTATACTAACATATTAATCGTTACAAAAGCCAGAATAATGGTTATGTCAGCGAATATATATAGGTAATATGGCGGGTATTCTTGCCATAGACATTACCACCATCTAATTTCGGCAAATAGACACACTTACAGATATGATGATGTCAGGCCAGTGACAAAACACTCCAGGAGCTAATCATTGCGGTGTTCTGATGGCCTCCTAGTGTCCAGACACAGCTGGACCTCCACAGAATCTCAGGATTCTTCTGTACCGCCCAGAAGCCTTTTGCAAAAAAGGTATTTACGCCATCTTTTCTCTCAGAAATACTCTCACCCAATCAATACAAATAGCTGATAATGAAAGTTTACAGCACCCGTATATTTGACAAAGAGCCAACAACACTGTATATGAATTTTCTTTTACAATTATATCATCTGCAATATTGTCAGTTTTACCAGTCGAAGATGAAGTTAGGCGCCAATTTGCATCGTAAGAAATTCTTGCTGTTTCAGCTTTTGTCCGGATTAAGGAAGTAAACACTTTCCATTACAAAACTATATTTCTCTTAACCTCTTATTCCGAATTTTATTTAGTTCATAAGAAAACAGTTTCCTGGGAGCAACGTGCCAGAGTGTAACAAAAACATTCACACCAAAAACACTCATACCTGTCACCAGCTACCTCCACATCCTCGCTTACAGCATTCATCATTGGTTGTCTCACATCTCGTAGGTTCCCCTCGTCTGGAACTTTCTGATTATTGCGCTAACTGTTAATGTACAATTATGTTCCTTCATCTCATCAGTGTCCATCTCAGTACTGAATCTTCTATCGCTGCTATGATTCTGTCTTCACAGCCGGGTCAGCTGACTTCAATGTTCCTGCCATTTCCACTAGCTGCCACTCAACCTGACATCAGATATATTACTTTATTAGGCCAGCAACAAATTACAGAAACTTAAAATACTAACATCACTTAATCGGTTAACAAAGCGCAGAATAATGTATGTTCAGGGAATATATATAGCGTAATATGGCGGTATCTTCTTGCATTAGAATTAACCATGCTAATCTCCGGCAAATCTAACACACTTACCAGTTGATGATGTCAGGCCAGTTGACCAAAACACTCCAGGACCTAAATCATTGCCTGTTCATGACTGCGTTATGTCAAAGTGACTCTCACAATCCAGCGATCTTCTGTACCCCAGAGCCGTTGTAAAAGCAGTATTTACGCACTCTTTCTCAGAATATATCTCACCAATCGCAACAAATACGTGAAATGAAGCTGGTTAATTGCAACCGGTATATTTGTAAAGACGCCAAACAACCTGTAATGAATTTTCTTTTAAATATATCATTGCCCAATATATGGGGCCTTAGCTTTCTACAGGCTCGAAAATGAATTGAGCATCACAGACTTTCATGTTAAGAATTGGTTTTTTCAGTTTTTTGTAGGTAAGGAAGTAAACACTTTCACATTAACAAAATCATATTTCTTAACCCCTTATCCGATTTTTATTGTTGTCATAAGAAACAGTTTCCTGGGAGCAAGTGCAGACGTGTAATCAAATAACATTCACAACCTTAACCAAACACTCATACCCTGTCACCAGTGACCTTCCACATCCTTCGCTTACAGGATCATCATTGTTGTCTCACATCTGTAGGTTCCCTTCGTCCTGAATTGTCTGATATTAGTACTAGTAACGCTAATGTAAATATGTCCTCATCTCCATCAGATGTCCATTCAGTACTGAATCTTCTATCGCTGATGATTCTGTCATCTGTCCTCACCGCGGGTCAGTACTTCAATGTTCCTGCCATCCACTAGCTGCCACTCAACCTGAGAGTAGTTATAAGATTATCCATATTATAAGCATAATAACAAAACTTCAAATACTTATATTAATCATCACAAATCCATAATAATGTCTGTCAGGGAATATATATAGGTAATATGGGGATATTCTTGCATAGAATTACACCATCTAATTCGGCAAATTAACACACTTACAGTTGATGATGTCAGGCCAGTGACAAAACACTCCAGGACTAAATCATTGCCTGTTCTGATGGTTATGTCAGAAGTGACCTCCACAATCTCAGGATCTTCTCCACCGCCAGAGCCTTTGAAAAAAGTATTTACGCACTTTTCTCAGAAATATCTCACCAAACGAAACAAATAGTGATAATGAAGTGGTTAATGCACCGGTATATTGAAAAGAGCAACAACTGTAATGAATTTTCTTTTAAATATATCATTGCAATATTGTAGTTTTACAGTCGAAATGAATTAGTCACAGATTTTCATGTTAGAAATTGTGTTTTTCAGTTTTTTGGTAAGGAAGTAAACACTTTCCATACAAAATATATTTCTTAACCCTTATCCGATTTTTATTTTGTTCATAAGAAACAGTTTCCTGGGAGCAAGTGCAGAGTGTAACAAATACATTCACACCTAAAAACACTCATACCTGTCACAGTGACCTCCACATCCTCGCTTACAGGATCATCATTGGTTGTCTCACATTTGTAGGTTCCCTCGTCTGAATTCCTGATATTAGTAACTGTTAGTGTAAATATGTCCTCATCTCCATCAGTGTCCATCTCAGTACTGAATCTTCTATCACTGATGATTCTGTCTTCACCGCGAGTCAGAACTTCAATGTTCCTGCCATCCACTAGCTGCCACTCAACCTGACATCAGGTAATATTACTTATATTAGCAGCACAATTACAAAACTTAAATACTAATATATTATTCATTACAAAGCCATAATAATGTATGTCAGGGAATATATATAGGTAATATGGGGGTATTCTTCCATAGAATACACCATCGAATTCAGCACATTAACATGCACACTTACAGTTGATGATGTCAGGCCAGTGACAAAACACTCCAGGACTAAATCATTGCCTGTTCTGATGGTTTTGTCAGAAGTGACCTCCACAATCTCAGGATCTTCTCCACCGCCAGAGCCTTTGAAAAAAGTAATTACACGCACACTTTTCTCAAAAATATCTCATCAAATAAAACAAATAGTGATAACGAAATGGTTAATGCACCGGTATATTGAAATAAGCAACAACTGTAATTAATTTTCTTTTAAATATATCATTGCAATATTATAGTTTTACAGTCAAAATGAATGAGTCACAGGGTTTTATGTTAGAAATTGTGTTTTTAAGTTTTTTGGTAAGAAAGTAAACACTTTCCATACAAAATATATTTCTTAACCCTTACACGATTTTTATCTTGTTCATAAGAAACAGTTTCCTGGGAGCAAGCACAGAGTGTAACAAATACATTCACACGTAAAACACCCATACCTCTCACAGTGACCTCCACATCCTCGCTTACAGGATCATCATTGGTTGTCTCACATCTGTAGGTTCCCTCGTCTGAATTCCTGATATTAGTGACTGTTAGAGTAAACACATCCTCATTTCCAAACTTGTCCATCTCAGTGCTGAATCTTCTATCACTGATGATTCTGTCTTCATTACGTGTCAACACTTCAATGTTCCTCCCATCAACTAGCTGCCACTCAACCTGATGGCAGTTAAGAAGAATGGCATTAGAGACATAATAGCAAATGTTTACATGTTAGGAAACATAGTTCCAAAATTAAGTTTGATTTAGGAAGACATAAAAACTAATCATCACACTAAAAAGCTAATTAAATAGTATAATATATTACTAGAATGACCCCTTATAAATACATTAGTTTAAATATCCTCCCTAGATGGGTGCACTATAGTTCATTTATTTTCAGTTGGTAGTTGATAGTAAATAGCTGATCACTGCTAGTTGATAGCTACACATTGGAATATATTTAGTTTTAAACCACTGATAGATATCCATTCTTTGTCAAAGCTATAGTGCCGAGGATAAGTACATACATCAAAACCTCAATGCACGCACACATGAACACAATATCATAGTGGCTGCTTCATTAACATTACTAGAAATATAATGTGTTTTATCCTTCTTCAAACATTGAGTTAATGATCTGCATAAGTCTGTAAGTGCCATACATGTGGTAGTATGCAATGTTACTCAAATTTACAGAAATTGCTGTTGTGTCTTTGTTAGAGTAACTGTTTGCCCACACTATGTAGTGTACTAGGTTGCAGCTATACTTGTGGTGTATGAAATGTAAATTTATAGGAGCAGATGAGCACCTACCCTCATCAATATAACTTAACTTATATACGATATATCTATTAGTAACAATTGTAACAAAGATGCTGCACTTACAGTTGATGAGGTGAGACCTGTGACGAAGCATTCCAGTTCCAAATCATCACCTGTACTAACAGTTGTGTCAGATGAGATCTCCACAATATCAAGATCTTCTCCACCTCCAGACCCTGGAGCAGAGGACATTTCATAAATATATAGATGATAAATGTTGAAGTGGTTAAAAACACCAATAATTCTAATACCAATAAACAACAAAATTTTTATAGCATTTTTATTTATATTATACCTACATATTAGACCAGAAAGTATTCCGTACCTCTCACATTGACCTCAACGTCCTCGCTTACAGGATCATCATTGGTTGTCTCACATCTGTAGGTTCCCTCATCTGAATTCCTGATATTGGATATAGTCAATACAAATATGTCTTCATCTCCAGACTGTTCCATCTCAGTGCTGAATCTTCTATCACTGGTAATTCTGTCTTCACCACGAGTCAATACTTCAATGCTTCTCCCATCGACTAGCTGCCACTCAACCTGTAAATTGATATGTTTATTTGGTGGGATTAAATTATATTATATGTTCTGTTGAGCCTTTGTTTTTTAACAGGCACATGCCAGTTGTATAACGTGTCAAGTCTTTTCGCGCTTACTGTTGAGGATGTTAGGCCTGTAACGAAGCATTCCAGGACGACATCACTTGCTGCACTGACGGTTCTATCAGCTGTAATCTCCACAATCTCTGGATCATCTTGTCCGCCAGATCCTACAGAGCACACATAAATTGTACATCATGACAATAATCATTCCAGATTAACCATAACCGAGCAAAAAGAAAAGTGATGTACGTCTTATAGCACAGCACAGAATTTTGCGAGACGTTTGTATATGAAATGTATGAATATGTCACTGCATTGCTATAGAACATGATAGCTAAATTTAGTAAATAAAAAAATATTGAATTATACATTTTTTTTTTATTAAAGGTATGTAAATATCATTAAAAATACACCTACATGAACTAAAGTTTCACAAATAAAATTTTATGATGAATTTTGACAAGATTAGACATACTGGCTTCCAATAACATACATACATTCTCAAATATTTCACCATAAATGACCTCTCTAATTCTTTAACTGGTTTAAATAAAATAAAAATTGCATTGCCATTAAAAAATTACATTTTATTCACATTACCTCCTACAGTAACTTCCACATCCTTGCTTACAGGATCATCATTGGTTGTCTCACATCTGTAGGTTCCCTCGTCTGAATTCCTGATATTAGTAACCGTTAGTGTAAATATGTCCTCGTCTCCAGCAGTGTCCATCTCTGTGCTGAATCTTCTATCACTGATGATTCTGTCTTCACCACGGGTCAGTACTTCAATGTTCCTGCCATCCACTAGCTGCCACTCAACCTGAGAGCAGTTATGATTATTAGTGTTGGAAGCATACTAACAAATTACACCAGTAGGTTCAAATGAACAAGACAACAGTAATAATATGGCTATGTTATGTGTTTATTTAAATATAATTTCCATATAATATCGGTGTAAGAAAACATTAGACTTACAGTTGATGAGGTGAGATCAGTGACAAAACATTCCAGAACTAAATCGTTGCCTGTCCTAACAGTTTTGTCAGATGTGATCTCTACAATCTCAGGATCTTCCCTGCCTCCAGAACCTTGAATTGAAATAAATACATAATTTCAAACAATCAATGATTTTACATATGTTGGAATATCAGCTATAATAATAATAACAGATCCTGAATAGGAACAAATGTTCATTGAGAAAGGTTTTAATAATTTTTTCTACGGAAATGATGGCTTTCCAATTTTTAAAATTGGGGGATAGATCATGACCTTACCTGTCACAGTGACCTCCACATCCTCGCTTACAGGATCATCATTTGTTGTCTCACATCTGTAAGTTCCCTCATCTGAATTCCTGATATTATTGATCATCCTCAGTGGAGTAGCTCAGTGATCTGAACCTGCAGATGACTGAACAGTTCGCCTCCATCTCACACTGAAATGTGAAAATGTTTATAAATTGTAAGCACTATGTGTGCAAGGCATTCAAAAAATACTATCACACACCGACCCACTCATTGAGAAATGAGCATATTCAAATACACATACTAGCACACTGACACAACACAAGCACACATCCATGCACGCATGCACGCGCACACTGAACACGCACACACCACTACACCAAACTACCCATTGCGAATGTTCACACCTAAGCATGCAGCCATGCGTGTTTTGATATTCTGTAATGTTTAATTAAAGCTGATGTTACAATTACAATTAGAACACTATACAACTCCAGCCTCTGTTTTCTAAGTCATGCACGGCATGCACGCATGCACACACACAAACAACTGATTACAACACAGCCAATCAAAAGCTCAAGGTGCTTACCAATCCATCAACAAGTCCGGACACAAAGCACTCCAGTTCTACAGTTGCCCCAAACCTGACAGACATGTCTGGCGATATATCTACAATTTCTGGTTTTTCATTGCTGCTACTACCTAGAAAACACCAATAATATCCATTACTAACAGCATTTTACAAAATCTCGACAATAAATTATTCGAGTATACGTGAATTCACAACCCAATCAAAAACGGTGAAACACAGTTCAATTTGCAAGGTAATGGTTACTACTCTAACAGAAACATCCACCGTCTTGCTATCTGGTGTTTTGGTTTGTGGTTTCACACTGATAGGTGCCTTGATCGGGACGATGTTATCTCAGATAATGTCAACACAAAACACGTCATCATTGCCAGAGGTATTGACATCAATATCAATACGACTGTCTTCCAATATCACTTTGGTGCCTTTGGTCAATGTTACGTAATTACGCCCTTCTTTTTTCTGCCACTCAACCTACAGAGAAATTTAATGCTGTATGAATGATGATGTGTATAATCTTGATTTTTCAAGTTGCACACAAAAGAATAATTTTTATGATAAACACTTGCTAATTTTCACCCTTGAGAATGAACGAAAACTGCACTATGAAACAAACCATACAATCTTACCATTTTGAAACATATACGGTCTGAACACAGATAAACATAGAATCTCTTTGAAAACATTACTTACACATGCTTGGCATCTATAGAAAATTAAACAGGATATTTCTATACACAAACATAATACAATCTGCTTGTTTACTGCCAGATAGTTTCAATTCCCGACGATGCTACTGACGTGAGTGATATTAAAGGAAAATTGAAGTCAAATTTCATAACTTCTGTAACGTTTTTATACATAGAAATACATTCAATAACGTATTCCATTTCAAATCCGGCGCACAATTAGTAATAAACACATGAATATTAATCTAGGTCATGTGACGTCACGGACCATTCTGAACGACGACGCCACGCTAAAGCTGAGTGTTGTGATGAAGACAGAAAGCGATAATTTCAATGATTCTAGTGATTACTCAGATGATCATGATATTTATAGTGATTTACCAGTTGGATATAGGTTTGAGCCTGCATGAATATACACAAGAAGAAATTGAGGAGAATCGTCTGAAAAAGCAACGCGAAGAGTCGGCACAAACTTCTCAAGAATCAGAACAGGCACAACATGGCGGAATGGAAGCTTTGGTACCAGATAGGACTGTAGACAAATACTGGTGTTCTTGTAGTGTTTGTGAATTAATGAGTACGGCACCTTAATGTATATGCTGCCATGAGAATGAAAAGACCAGGGTTATTGTAGACCAGTTCGACGCTAGAGCAAGTGAGTCATGCGAGTACACTGTTCACCGGGCTTATCACGCTCGGTCAGAATCACATGTATCTACGCAAGTCATGTATATTTACCGTGAATGCATTACCAACACAGGTAATATGTATGTACATGAATATAAGTACACTTACAGGCTACATGTTTGTGTCTTGACATGATAAATAAGCATGACAAATAACAAAAAACATCGAATATTTAACCACCACACGCACAGGCACTTGGACCGTTTCAATAATAAAATGATGGTT